TGACTGCAAAGAACCTGGGTACCATGCAGTGACTGAGTTGACCACCTGTGAACCAATGGATTAGTCAAATGTGAGACTCTGGCTTTGTCTCAGTTCAGGGAATGTGTCCTCTGTAGTGCACATTTATGAGCCATTTACGTCACTGCAAAAGGCTGTCCAATTTTGTGAGCTCTTTCTCATCCCATAAAACCCCAAAAACAAAGGATGCATCTGAGTATACGTCATATCCGATGAATGATATCTCCTTGTGCTGTCTGCAAACTTTACAAGAAAAAGAAAATGGTGGAGTTGGGAAAATCATCACAAACCAAAGAATTTGTTGTTTAGCAACTTAGCTAATGAAATGTATTCTTCAATGTGATGTTAAATAGCATTGTGAGTACTGAAACTGGAGCTGCCCCCACCCCCTTGTATTTTACTTCTACAAGTTGTACAGGCTAATGTACAAGTACTATAATCACCTTGAGAAGACCAAAACTAGAAGCACTCTGAGAGCGCAAACCTCTGCCAAGGCCAATTTCCCCTATCCTGCAATAGTGAAGAATCCTTCAAAAAATTCCTGGATCCRGATCGAGCAACATGAGGAAGGTTGCGCTCCGTGAGCTACCGGGAACCAGCTACGAGCTACAGGTTGATCTCAATCGACTGGTTGGGCACCCCTGTGCTATATCAAAGATATCGTTCACTTTGCATCATAGTCTAAACGCCTTGAAATTGGCCTCTGTCTCTTTAAGAACCTCCTACCTTTTCTGACACTCCCACTTCATCATGTCTTCACAGCAATGCTTCAAGGGTGTGGTGCTCATTATATCAAATATATGTAACTCTCATTTTGTCTTATTCGTGACACAACAATGGACAATTGCAATCAGATCCCTAAACCTGAAGTTTTAAATTTCATTTATATATATTTATAAATTACTGCTTGTATACTTTGTGTGCTTTAAACATTGTCTATGTATTTCATGTTGTTTTTGTATGTTACCAWACTGAACTGAACTAACATCCTGCTTGAGTGAAAAGTACTGCACCATCCAGATGACAATAAACTAATGTTAGCTATTGTTAGCTTGTTGTTGTTTGGTAACTTGCTACAGTTGAACTTGTGTGMAAGATCATCACTGCAAACAATTTAAGTAAAGTTATTSTCATCTGTGTGMTGTGGCATCCCCTGGTTTGGGAACCAATCAATGTGTTACAGTRACTGATGTCAGATCAGACCGAGCAGCTTGACCCAAATGGAAYCCTGAGTCTTTCTCTGGGTTTCTGAGAGAACCATAAGAGGTAATGCTAGCACACTGGACCCAGGTTTGAACCCAGGCCAGGCTTTACAGTGCAAAAAGACCAATAGAGAAAACAGGGTTGATAAGAGTGAAGACGGAGGATGCAGAGGACAGAGTGAGAAGGAGAATGACCTGACCCCTGAAGAGGGAACAGCTGAAAGAAACAGGGGAAAGGGATGTGTCTCAAATCATGGGCTGATGAGGATGCATAGCCTGCCTGGGCCACGTCCTTCCCAGTCCGGGTACGCTGCATAAAACTGCTATGAAATGAGATGGTCTAGCCTTTGCGTAACGTAGGTTTGCATGACCACGCGCTACCCAATGACTGCTTCCTGTGGCTCTGAACAGTAAAGCAAGTAAGTGTGTGGGTTGATGGATGGATGTGTTCAAATGCAAAAATGTACTAGGATTGAAAGAGACTTACCTTTTTAGTGACAAAATATTTTATACAAGTTCTCTTAACAATTAGGTTTTTTATTGTGAAATATCTAAAGCTAGTAAGGGTGTAAATCACCAGTTTTATCACAATACAATTTATATTGAGTTGTTTTAAAGACGATACAGTTTAAATTGAATTCAATTCACAAGTCTGAGATTGATATGATGTGATGTCATATACCCATCTAACACAATCATTTACATATTTATAAACTAGGGGTGCAGCGATACAGAACGTTCACAATTGGGTTCGGTTCAATAATTTAGTCTCACRGTTCGATATTTTTTCGATACAAAATAGCAAAATTTCCATGTCCTTCTTAACTTGTAATTTATTGAAATGAATTATGAACATTTGTTTAACCTCAAAAGTACAGTTTTTAAATGAAGTGTTGCAGAAACATCAAGTTTCTCAGTGGATCTGTGCTCGACAATGCAGTCTAGGCGGAGTAGTTGAACACAGATCCTCTGAGCTTTCAACACAGAGCATCTTCAGAAGACAAGTTGATAAAATCAATTTTAAAAATCTGTATTGTTTGATACATAGTGTGTATTGAACGGTTCGACATARATACATATATTGTTGCACCCCTAATATGAACTCACAAAAATAACTCAAGAATGATTTGACCATGTTATTTCAGTTATTACAGACATCAGGCATTTGATTTGATTTATTGATTTAACAGGAAAAGATTATTAAAAATCAAGCCTGACTCAGCATAATTGCTGTTTTACAGCAGGTTCCTGTTCTGCAGCACATAAAAC